TTACTTACCTACTAAGTACCTACCAACTAATAAAACTAACACTGACCACTACACTAACACTTAGTATTAGTAACTTAGCTACTACTCACATTCTCTCTCCTCTCTCTCTCTCTCTCTCTCTCTCTCTTACTCTCTTTCTCTCTCTAGAATTCGCAGGCAAACTATGGCTGGTGGGAATAGTGATGCATGCTCAAAGTCTCTATTGAGCAGTGGAGATTGCAAGTCAGCTGCAAAGTGTGGAGGAGCAAAGTGGAGAGAGATGGGATCGTCGGCATTTCGGAGGGTTGTTGCTGCATTTCCATGCAGGTTGCTGCAAGCTGATGGGGCCTCAGCAAAACGCTCATTTCATCGTCTGGAGCATTGCTAACTTTGTTATATGAACAACTGTCTTTTGTAGAATTACTTTAGTTAGAAGATGATCCTCTAGGAGCAAATATGTCCTACATTGTGCTTGGTTATGGCCTAATTAAGATGAACATTATTCGTGCACACTGAGACACAAAATTAGAAATAAATGAATATAAGAGCTTTCTATATTATCATCATCTACATCCGAGTCCTATCTCAACTATTTGGGGTTGGATACACGAATTCTGCTCCACCAGTTTGCTCTTTCACAACATATAGAAACATAGATCTAGGGTTATAAGGGCCGAGAATATCTTTAATATTTTATTCAAAAATTGATCACCAGGTGAATAAAAGACTAATTAAAAAAATTTCACGCCACAAAACCCCATAACTAAATGATTTTCCCTTGGGACTGAGAATATAATTTTGTCCCCAAGGGGCCACCATATACGGGTTCCTTTTTTGTTTTTCAGGTAGTTCCAAACAATTTAGTCCCGAGATACATAAAATTAATGAAAATTTTATGCAAACAATTAGCCCTCCAAAGGAATGGGCATTGGACTTAGGAATAGTAGTCAAACAAAAAATAACTTGTAGAAAACATTGCAATAAGTTGTATCTTTACTGTATTTTTACAATTTCGTATAACATATTAGATATAAGAGATTGTAAATTATGGATAATAGATCCATGCTTCCCATTTTTAAAATGTAGGGAAATTTATTAAAATAATCATAAGAGATGAACTATTCAATATTTTATCCGTTTGCAACTATTTCAACTCATGATCATGTATCTTTTGAGGGGTGTTTTGAAATTAAAACAAAAATATAAGTAGAATATTAAATAGTACATCTCATGTGGGTATTCCACTAAATTTCTATGTAAAACCTGTGGTGCTTCTCTTAATGCCTTTTTAGCCTTGTTCAATTTTTTCAAACATTGGACTTGTAAAATGTGATAAAATGATGCCTGTTGCTCCAAATTTGTACATATAGTGACTAATGACCTAGAGTCAAGTATGCGCGTCTTACAGAGGAAAAATTAAGGTTGAACTGCTGACACCAATTCATTCTTTCATCTAGCAAAAAGGAAGATCTAAATGTATTAATTTCCCAAAAGAAAGACCTATTTTCAAATGCAATACCATAAAACAAGCAGTAGAATTTTGTTAATGAACCATTATGTTAAAATGATGATCCGGATGGTGCTTATTGCGAAGTTATCTTATCAGTTGGTTATGTAAAGAGCAGAAAATGCACCCAACGAAAGAAAGGAAAAAACACATGGTGAGAACTGTCGCAGTTCCACTGCCATTGATAGGAGATGGAGCCGGAGGAGGAGTTTGAAATTCAAAATTAGAGGGTCCATGAAACTAGATGCGAAAAAGTATTGATTAATATAAAGTAAAGATAAAGTGATAAACATCTGGTAAAAAATGAGAGGGCCCATGAAACTATAGTTATTCACTACGTTTAAAAGAAAAAAACTGCTTGCATACTGAAACAATATAGAAGAACAGTAAATGACTGCTAGTGTAGTTCATGAACCAAATGTGGTGGAAAATCGTTTTCAGTATAGACCATTGTATGAAAGACCATGCAAGGGGGAGAGTTTATTACAGAGGTAACATGTGCCGGGTGAAGAGGAATCCAAAAATAGAAAGAAAAGGTGCCAAAAAAGCGTTAGTTGTTACCATTGCACTACCAG